ACATAATTTTAAAATGTCTAATAAAATATCTTGTCATTGGTTGTTCATGAAACTTTAGTGACTATTGAAACAACACCCTGATTATCTGAAAACCATTTTACTCGCTGATTCATTAGCACATGCGTTATTGGTCGAAGTGTAATGTGTACAGAGCAATTATATTAAACAAATATATAATATTTTTTCTTTGGGCTTCCTGGCGTTTGATTAGATAGAAATGATTATGAAATTATCATATATCATAAAGAATCAGTTTGAACTGATACAATTAAACACACTATTAAATTCTCAAAAGTCAAAATATATTAAATATGTTAAAGATTTAACAATACGACATAATTCAACACTATAGATATCAAGCTGCAACCAGATAATTTCCTATAGTCCAGAAACTACCTCTCCAACTATGAAGCGAGGCTTCTGTTAAGATACATAAAAGAAATATTACCTGCTGGTAGGGATTTACAACAAGTTCCAACTATATTTTATCTATACAAAGCCTATTCGTGTAAACTCTACCTCTGGATTTTTAATACTTATATGTTACCATGTTACCCGGACTCAAATGCAATTTCATAACTTTGATATAGTGACTCTAAATCCGTGAAGCTAGGCTTCAATTGGATATAAATACTTTTGGCCAATTATTCGTCTTACCTAAGCTAGGTTTCTATTAGGTTGGCGAAATATATGACTTGTATGAAGTAAGGCTTCAATTACATAGCATACTCTAATCTCGATGAATACTTCTACAGACTGCCTAATTTTGACTCCGGTCGCCTTATTAATACCTGTTGAGATTATCACTTAAGGTATTAGCACCCTAATGCATTACCTCCGCTTTAAAGAGTATTCAAATAGGCTAGAACTACTGTTAACTACATTGAAAATGAGGGGCCGCGGGTTCAATCCCCAGAAGGGTCAACTTTTTTTTCTTTCCTTTTTTCTTTTAACATTTTTTATGTATCTCTCATGTCCCATTTGGAAAGAAAAAATTGTTTAATTTAGATTTTTTAATTTATATAGGTATTTATTGGCTAAATTATGCTAAATCTAGTAATAAATATGGTACCTGATATTTTCAAAGTGTAATAAAATCAAAACTAGACGGTAAAAGTATTTCATATTTTACAAGATCAACCAATATACCTTTTTAAAAATTTAGGGAAACTTTGAAAACAGGCACTCATTTGGGTAAATTTTAAGAATTTTTTAAATTAGGCTTTCTAAGTAGAAAAATGGTCACACATGTGGTAAAAATGGGTGGGGGTAGGGGTAACATTTTTATACAGATTTTTCTAAATTTTAAGTAGAAACCATAATTTTGCTTATGTGGATTGTTAGCTGAATGGTACCATTTGTTTCTTACCAAAATTAATGGAAAACATTTTTCATTAGAATGTTATTGCAGATTATTTAAAGGTTCCGCATTTCTAAAAAAGGACCCTCATAACATCCTAGCATGAAGTTCAGAAAAGTGGCCATAACTTGATTTCCGTACGGTAAACTTTGTTTAGATATTGCATACAGGTGTACTTTAAGGTATACATCTGACCTATGATGTCAATTTTTTAGTTTCTGATAGTGCCCATTAGGGTCCTAATACCTTAAGCATGTCTTTATTTTCATTTGCTGCTCAAAATAATCATTATCGCTCAGACGTTAATTACATAATATGATATCAAACGTTTATTGACGTTTATTGAAAATACGTATACCAAACGTATATTCTAAAGTACCTAAACTAAGATATATCGCGCAATATAAACAAATAACGTAATAGTTAAGTAACAGTTAAATTATTTCAGTAAATGATAATCTTCATTCAAAACAAAAAAGTAAATGTCTTAACGTTACAGAAGTACAGAGTACAATGCATAAATTTCCCTCCAAATAGAGGATTTCTGACTTTCTTCTGGTGACCATTGATTATTTGAAACACCGTTTATAGTATTTACTTCATAACCAGCAAATCATAGTGACGAGGCGTCACTGGAAACTACTCTTGATCAGATCTGAGACTGGAAAATGTTCCGGGAAATATCATTATCTAACTTTTCAATGTAAAACATGATTTGCGCAATACTTTCCTAAGAAAGACAAATGTAAGAATTCTATGATTGAGACTGTAAAATGTCAATACTAAAACAACAGGCCATTATCTGTGACATATTACAATAGTCAAAGAGAGGACATGACCTTCTAAAATAGCTTGCTACTTTCCTTACTAGCACACGGTTGTGTACTTTCAAATCATGCAATACCTGAGAAGCAGTTAACATAGCCCTATCTATTCTTTCATCAGAAACCATGATAATTACATCTCGACAATTCAAAATGGCCTCTAAAATTTGTATAGTATGTGTTGGGCGCCAAACACATTTATTTGCATTTGGAATAAATTCTGATAATAACAGATCCTTAATTATCTCATGACTAAGCAACAGTGTTGTCTCATAATCACACGCACAACCGAAACCATCGTATAAAAATGTTAATACTAATTCATTTTTCCTCACTTTTCCATTTTGCAATTAAAGAGTAAACATGTAACACGCATTCGATAAGCCAAACGGTTAAACAAAAAAACATATAAAAACTCACTTGACCATCATCACCAACCCAATTAGTGCGGTTCAAAAATTGCAATAAAATGATAAGCAGCAGTAATATCAAATTTTATCATATAAATCATCTTTGCAAATACGATAAAGCTATCCTTAAATCTTCAAATTTTACCGACTGTTGTGTTGTCCATTGTTTATACGATGACTTAATATCAATCTCTCTTTACCATTATTTTGAATGGATACAGTTAATGGATTAACAACTCGTGGAGGACTATAAATGCGTACAATAAGAGATATATCTAACAAATCTTTAATTGCAGATGAAACAAATTCTCGTTCAGACAAAGCAGATCTATAATTGTTTTTTACAAAATGTAATTGTAGGTGTTGTAGGTGTTGAATAAAATGGAATTTTGTAACTAAACTTCAATACATCAAAAATAAAATCAGATGCACCTATTTCGCGCCAAAATTAAATATCTTTCTCAGTCTACCTCTAAAAAATAAATATCATTTTGACCTCTTCGTATTTTGGGGAAGCCTGGATTAAAAATAAAATCAAGTATATTTTACTTTTACCCCAATTTAAATTTTTTTGACTGATGTCGGGTTTCCGATGATTTGGCTAAGAAAGGACAGTTTCTGAGGAAGTGTCCGAATTCCCCACAAGCGCAACATTGTCCTGTAGCGGCCGAGCCATAGTTCTCGGAAACATTGTAGAAACGTGGTCCTCTAAGACAGTGGCGAAAAAGACTCCCTCTTTCGAATCTGCCGGAAGCAAACCTTAAAGATGAACCATAAAGCCAAAGGTCATAACGTACTTGAAGTGAAGAAACTTGATTGCTCACATAATTTCTGACTGTGCCCTAGCCTGCAGTACTTGTGTCTGCTATTTTTATATGTTTGTTCCGATCTTGTATTAAGTTGATAACCTCTTCTCACAGTTCACAACTATACTGATATTATACGGACCTTTTTTTATTTGCCCACTTAGCCTACTTAAATTTTTGTCAATGCTGCTATTTGGTTCGTACTGTAGTGTGTGTGTCTTTCAAATTTGCACGTTAATTCTTTTAATTGATTTTCATTTATTAACTTCTGAAGATAAAGATCTTGATTTGCCTTGTATTTTATCTCTTAAGGTTTGAAAATTTTGCCTCTGGGAACAAAGTTAATCCAAAACAAGCTTTACTTGATTCTGGAAACAATTCTGCTAAGAAATCAAGACTACGTAGTGAATTGTCCAAGTTTTCCTCTGACATTACAAGAACAAGTAAGGACACAGTAAAATTAAGCTGATTATGCCTGGTCAATTGTCCAAAGCTAAATTCCCAATACTACAAATGACTGTAGAACGAAAAAAAAAACAAGAATAAAAAACAACAAGGCAAAGGCAACGTTCACAGGACGCGGCCCCCGACACACTCAAACATAAGGGTGAAAGGAGTGGGACATGAAACCTTCGCACAAACACTATACAATAGAATACTACATTGGGCCAATAGAAAATGATTTTCCTCTTACTCATTTTTGCTCAACCGAGGGTATTATATGAATTTTCCAAGAACACCTGATGTGTGCAATAATAAATTACACAAAAATAGCGATTGGTATCTTTGGAAGGGTTTATATATTTTACACTATTAAGTGTTGAGAATTGAGTACCGCTCATGCCGATGCTAGAGGGGCATGAGGGATGTTGCACTTATTCATTATCCCTCATGTACAGACTCAATCAAACCGAGTCTGCAGTTTTCATGTTATTTTGTGGTGATTAATACTTCCGAGGGATCACTTTATTTCTAGATTATTGAACACGATAAAGTACTTAAATAAAAAAATAATATGTTTTGTTTTAGTAATATTAATAAATACTGTTTTTAAAACTGATGCTTGAATAGTGAAACAAAAGAGCATGTAGGTTGATAGTTACCGTACTCGGAGTAGATCTGCACAGTATTTACAGACTCATGTAGCCTTAAAAAACCTCGATCGCTACTCTGTCCCGTTCTTCAAATCGCCACTTTGGTCTTTAAATACTACGCAGTCCTGTTTTTCGTTCAGTAACTATTAACTATTACAAAAGTTTAGCTTTTGCTTTGTTATCAATATAATCTCGTGAAGTTCTGTTTCTATTTTCTGTGTTAACTTAACAAGTATATGTACCTGACCCTATAACATAACGAAAACCCACGAAAAACATGAGAATTTTTAAATAAAACCCGATTGAATGGTTAATATTATTGTGTGGGACCAAACACAGATATGATTTGACCATCTGATACTTATACGACACTTATACGACACTATACACCTAATTCTGTTATCACATCGCCGAAATGGATAAACATTCTTTTATACATATATTAATTAACATTTAAAGGATAAGAAGATAAGGACAATAACATGTAATCAATAATGAAAGCTTACATCTAGATGTCAAAGTCCTTTGGATACATCTTCCTCTTGGTTGACTCATCCCTGTGTCAACTTCACTAAACGACGTGTTTGTGGACATCTTTTCAGTCTGCAAAAATAGTGTTTAAATTTAGAAAAGACTACTTTTAAAAGGTCTGTAGTATGTTTAACTTAGTATATTTTATGAAGAGCAAATGATCATTGATTTCAACACGCTCAGACCAATCTCAGTCCGATTTTAATAATATTCAACACCACCTTTCGTTCGTCCACTTAAACGTCAAAAGCATTCGTAATAAACTTGACTTAATTTAAGAACTTCATGACTTTGATATACTGGCCACCTCAGAAGCTTGGTCCGAATATACCTACCGAAGATCTCGCTTTCACATACTTATGGAGGAGTTATAGTATATATCAAAAATAATTTACATTACATCAGAAGACGTGATCTTGAACTTAACTTTCTTGAAAGTATCTCGTTTGAACTTATTCTCGAAAACAATAAAAATATTCTTCTTTTGGAGTTTTTTATCGAGCACCCAACTTGTATACAATTTACAACGGTCTTGTTGAAGACTCAGTTGCTCTTGCTGTAGATACTAATATAACATATATAATTATAACATGAGATTTTAACTATAATGCCTTAAACAATATATCAAATAGAAAAAATTCACCACATTTTACTGAAAATTCTGAGTCAAAAAAAAAACTTGATAGTTGTCATCAACAAAAAGAACATATTCCATTCTTTTGTTGGTGAACATTTCTTAGACCAAGATTCGCGATATCACATTCCTATTTACTGTTTTTTGAAATTAAAAAAAATGTAATCAAAAATCATTCCCAAGGTTTTATTGGGAATATAAGTGCGGTGATTTTGAAAAAATAAGAAATGATATACAGGCTACTAACTTGAACAATTGCTTTGATACTGACATAAACATATATATTTACAAAATGACAGATAAATTATTAGATATTGCCATAGATTGTATTCCTAATAAGATGATATACGTTATATATATGATATATCATATGTTCGCCCTTCAGATGTCTCATGGATGACACGCACTATCCGAAGTCATATACGAATAAGAAAACGATTATATAAAAAAAGATAAACTAAAACAAACAACAACTCATTTGCGAAAAAATTCAGACAATTTAGAAATTACTAATCAGAGAAACAATATCCAATTTCTATTGTAATATGGCATATAAACTTAAAAAACAATCATTCTCTAAGGATTGGTGGACAACTTTAAAAACATTTATTTCATCTTCAACCAGTCAAATAATACCCCCAACTTTAGAGCAACATAATCAAATTACATTTTCAAACGAAGAGAAAGCAAATCTCCTAAATGAATACTTCCTACAGCAAACACAAGTCGATAACTCAGACAAAGTTGTCTCTGATCTTGGTCCTCCATTGAATGACAATATACTATCTGACTTGGTTCTTACTCCAGACGAAACACAATCAGATCACTTTAAATCGACAAAACGTCTGGGCCTGATGGAATCAGTAATATTATTTTTAAAGAAGCTCCTCAAAAACTTTCTGTTCCCTTCTGTAAATTATCCAAAGTTGTATCATGCCTTATTCTTGGGAAGAACTGTAATTTTCAAAAACGGCGATCTATCCTTACCCAGTAACGTTCGTCCTATTTCACCATGGAGAAAGTATTTGAACGACTTATATTTAAACATCTCTTTAACCATTTGCAGGAGAACAATTTCCTTACTCCAGTTTATTCAGGATTTACACCAGGCGATTCAACAGTCAATCAATTAATGTCTATATACGATACACTTTGCAAAGCCCTTGATTACGGGCTAAAAGTACGGGTTATGTTCTTTGACATAAGTTAAGCTTTCGACAAGGTTTGGCATAAGGGTTTTCTCATTAAATTGAAACAAGCTGGAATTTCTGGAAAGATTTTTACTTGGTTTTTCGAATATTTAAGCGATAGACAACAACGTGTTGTCCTTTCTTACTCTAAATCGTCGATTGGTTATCTTTCAGCTGGTGTTCCCCAAGGCTAAATTCTTGGTCCTCTTCTCTTTCTCGTATTTAGGGGGCGTAAGGGATGTTGCACTTATTCATTATCCCTCATGTACAGACTCGATCAAACCGAGTCTGCAATTCGTATGTAATTTTGTTGTGAATAATGCTTCCGAGGGATCACTTTGTTTCCAGAGTTTTATTAACGATATTGTTAAAGATATACGACCTTGTATTTATTTATACGCTGATGTCACTAGTCTTTATCTTGTGGTTGAAAAGCCTCAACAGCTGCTACCACATTTACAGTCGGATATAGACAGAATTTCATTATGGACAGATACATGGCTTGTTTCATTTAATCATTATAAATCTGAATCTTTGTTAGTCTCTAGAAAGAGATATCCAAATCAACATCCAGAGCTACAAATGAATAATCAGACTATTACTGAAGTTTCTTACCACAAACATCTTGGAATTTTAATTTCAAATAACTGCACATGGCACTCACACATAGATTATAATTATAACAAATAAAGCATGAAATATGGTAAATATTATGAGAAAACTTAAATTTCGTCTAAATAGAAAATCATTAGAGACAATTTACACTTCTTTCATTCGTTGATTACTTGAATATGCTGATGTTTTATGGGGAAATGCTGCAAATTGTGAATTAGAGGAATTAAACAAAATCCAAAACGAATTTTCTCGTATCGCTTCCGGATGTACAAGACTTGTTTCACTCATAAATCTTTCAAATGAAATAAACTGGGGATATCTCGAAGAAAGACGATATATTCATAGAATGATCCTCCTTTTTAAAATTCAAAACGGACTAGCTCCAGTTTATCTTTTCTCAATTCTCCCAACAACAACTTATGATAGGTACAACCTAAGAAATATTGACAACATACCAGGTATATATGCCAGAACAACACTTTATTTTAACTCATTTTTTTCGACTGCAATAAGGGAATGGAATAATCTTCCACACGATGTCCGCAACTTCCAACTCTTTCATCATTCAAACACAATTTTTAGAAAAACAAATAACACACGCCTAACTATTATTTTTCTGGTGAAAGAAAACTTCAAGTTCTTCATACTAGACTTCGAACAAAGTGTAGTTCTTTAGACTACCATTTGTTTTTGAAAAACATAGCTGCATCACCTTTATGTCTTTGTGCCCAAAAAGAAAATTAATTTTTATTTCTTCTTCGAGTGTACACAATTTGTTACAGCTCGACAGAAGTTATTTCGCAATTTGAATAATGTTGACATTGATTTAAATGTTCTATTTTATGGCAACCCAGACCTTTCTGACCAAGCTAATGACGTTATGTTTTCACACGCACACACATCCACCAAGGGACAAAAAGATACATTTCACACCCAAACACTTAATCATTATATTTCTATACTTGAGACACCTCAATATTCATATTTTTCCCCTTCTTCACTACCTTTTCATCTTTCTGTGTTCTTCTCAAATACTGTTTAAACATGTATTAATATAAATATTAATTCGAACCAATAATACAATTATTCTAAATGTAATCGATAGATCATATACTATGTTTCTTAGAGCATTTAAATACATATCAGATTCTGTGTTTTCATTTTTCTAATATAAACTAATGATTTTTGTTTTATATTTTATTCGTCTCAGATTATTAAGTATGTAATTATTTATTTATTCTTTTCTTTAGTAAGTAATTGGAATACAAAGAAAAGAATAAAGATCAACAAGGCAAAGGCAACGTTCACATGACGCAGCCCCACCCCCTCCCCACCGACACACCCAAGTAGGGCACCTAGAATGTACCAAACGAAACCCCGGAGTGGACACAAGAATATTTAAGAATATTTGAATAACTCTGTGTATATTGTTAATTGTAACATGTATATATATTCTGAGAAATAAAATATGTTTAAAATAAACTAATGACCCCAGGGCTTTTATTTGAACAAACTGATAGAAATTCACTAGAAGATGTTCCATGCTGAATATCTCAGCTCGAAGTATTTGGGGTTTTTAAAAGAAGATTTTTTTATACATATAAGGAAAATCAATGACCCACCTGGCTTTTATTTGAACAAAAGTGGAAGACACTCACTAGACAATGTTTCATGCTTAATATATAAGCTCTAGCTATTTGGGTTTTCTAAAAGAATAGTTTTTAAGTTTTTCTATATACATAAAAGGAAAATCAATGACCCCAAGGCCGGGTCTAATTTTGACCCAACGGCTTTATTTGAACAAACGTTGTCGACACTCACTATAAAATGTTTCATGCCTAATATCTAGGCGCTAGCTTTTTTGAATTTTTCAAGTTTTTACTATATACATATAAGAAAATCAATGACCACCCAGGGAGGGGCCAATTTTGACCCAACGGCTTTTATTTGAACAAACGTTGTAGATAGTCACTAGAAAATGTTTCATGTTTTATATCTAACCTCTAGCAATTTGGGCTTTTAAAAAAAATACTTTTAAAAGTTTTTATTATATACATATAAGGAAAATCAATGACCCCCCAGGATTTTGACCCTAGGACTTATTGGTAGACAACAATTACAAGATGTTTTATGCTAAATATCAAAGCCCTAGTTCGTTTTGTTTATAACTCTCAATATTAATATAACAATTCGATGTAGTAAGTTTGCATTCATTTTAAATATTCGTCTGTTATTGTGTATATGTAACTGCAATCTTTATACGTCACACAGAACATTGAAAAATGCAAAAAGTTTTTAATGATTTACCCCGTTTGCGTCGTCTAAGTTTAGGTAACCTGTTTAAACTGGTCATAATTTTTATTTGTTTGGGTCGTCTGACGAAACAAATAATGGTAGCGAAATGTCAGACCCTGATGTTCTTATTTGCAAATGCCGAAAGAAGTCCAAACTCCTCGAAGCAGTTACTTCCCTTCATATGTACATTAACGCCGGAAAAAATTAAGAGGAGATCACTGCGTAAAGATTGTCAAATGACAGGCGCATTAATTTTTGTAACGAAAAATATTTCCCGATTGGTCGAAGATTTCTAATATTGTGTTATTCTTATAGATATACATGCTTATATTCAGCTCCATGATTATTTACTTCAGTGTTAAACAACAGGTTTACCGTGAACAAAATATATCGAAATTAATAAGGGTTACAAACTCTTATTAAGAATAATCTGGTATTATTCTGGCTGCTATCTTTAAACTCCCTGTGGTCGAGGGGTATACACGCTCGCTTTAGGAGCGAGAGGTCCGGAGTTCAAATTCCAGTTCAGGCTACCCATGTTGTTGTTTTTTTTTTGTTTTTTTTTTGTTTCTTTATACATTGAATTGAATATTAGTGTTGCAATTAGTTTCATAGCCAATTTATTATAGTTTTAACACAGGAAACAGAATTTGGTGACACTTTGCAAACAAATTGGTTTATAATCTCAAAACCTTCACCTTTCTCAGAGCAGATATATCTTTGTCTCTGACATTCTGAGACCCAAACAAATTCAGCGCCTTCTGTGCTTTTATTTTAACATTGATCACAGTTACTTAAGCATCAAAATTAGAATTTCTGAAAAACGATTGAAAACAAAGTCGGTTAAATTCATTTAATCTTAATCATACAGTTCTGAACCTAGAAACCACTTATTATTTCATTTTAAGTTTGGGCAAAAACTATTTTAAAAGTTTAAAGCTCTTACCTTTAAAAATCATTTACAAACTGTATTCATGTTGACGTACTTGCTTTTGGTTACATTCTTGGATGAGTTTAACTGTACTGTAAATAAGACGTTAAGCTGGAAACGTTGTGACCCGTGAGTATAGTTATTTTACCACATCTTGTTACATTTAACAATCAAACTCATGTTAATACTTTTTAAAAGAACAAAACATGTAAAGTTATTCAACCCGACAATCATTAAAAATGTTGCAGGAGATTAAGCTTTGTTGAAAAACCTAATAATCGCAACTTTTCGGCCCTTTCCGTCAGTCTGCGTATTTAATCGTCAATAAGAGTGACTTAAGCGCTTAATTGAGAATTCCAAAAATAGATATTGGAAAAATGATAGAAAACGAAAGTGATACATTTCATGACTTTGAAATCTTCAATTTGTAAGTTCGTTGCTTTATCCCATGTTTAAAATGTAAACCCTTGAACCATAGAAATTTTTGTTTAAAAACACCGATAAATGTTCAATAATCATGTGTCTTTGGAAACCTGCGACCGAAATGGAACAAAAACAGTAATTTTAGTAATGCGAATGTCTCCGGATTTACATGTAACCGTTTTTACATTTTTTATAAACATTCAAACAAAAAACCTTTGTGAATTAATTCCTAACATTTATTTAAATTCTCATGAAGATCTCCGAAATGTCATAAGACACTTACACAACTAGTACTGGGCATGTGCATTTTAACCGGGAAGTAAATAGTAAACCTCGCATATAAGCGTACCACGTGACGTTATTTACACAAAGCGTTACTCGTGTGTTTCAATAATAAGATACCATAAACTAAATAAAAGGAATCGGGTTTTAAATACCAAAATATAAATGTTATCTCTTTTAATTCAAGACACGTAAAACAAAATTAAGTTAAGGACTTGAAATTATTGCAACGAGTGCATTTAAAGTATAATTACAATTATGTCGAGGTTCTTTCTTGAAAAATGAAGAACTAAGCCGAACAATAAATAAATTAAGAACTTTTTTACTTGGCAGATAAATTGAACGGAAATGGTAAGGAGATTCGACAATTATCAATAGTTATTGCACATATACACATACATGTATGTATCAACAAATCAAACTATCAACACACTATGTTGATTTTAATACTAAAGTGTCACGTTAGATATATCATACTGAATGAGTCCGCTTTGTATCATTCGAACTGATTAAAGGAATATGAAACTACTAGGCAGTAATGTTAACCATAATGAGACAATATAGATAACGCAGTATTTGGCTTCCTCAGATCGGTAAAATTATGATTGAAACTATGTCTGACAATCGTAATCACTTTAATGATCAACATTATTTTTGTCCAATCACATTGTAGTGTTTTTCAAATTTCTGCTAAGTCTAACTTTGGTTAATGTGTACTAACTAAATAAAATTTACTTAATCTGTTGTCTAACCAGTCTAACAAATTTCAATAATGCATTATATTAGGGAGGAGTTAGAGGTGTAAAATTGTAAAATATCTAGGTTAGCAAAACAATGCCAACGTTAAAAAAATTAGGCGAGGTCAGGTGTTTCTAAATGTGAGGATACAATCATTTAGTTTATTACATAGATAATAAATGTGGGGCACACAGAGACAAATGATTACATAGTAACTTTTTTATATCCGTTTAACTCTTAGAAAAATGTCTGTTATAAATTGCTGACTCTTTTAAACTTTATACATGTATTTTCCAAAAAAAGTAACCAAAACATTATTTTCTTTCAATTGATAGGAATGAACTGCATTAACAATCCTTTATATTATGAATACAATGATTACATTTTTGGCTGGAAAACTCATTGAAAATGGACCCCTTCCACCTGTAAACCTAATATTGAACTGTTTTTCAAATGAGCAAATCAATAGGGATTTTAAATATTGGTGAATAACTTGAAGCTTATAACGAATTTGTATCAATTTATAATCTCTAATGTATTTTTCTCACATTTTCCATTTACAATGTTCGAGGGTTGATCAATATATTCATGGACTCTATTAATAACTTAATAATAAATCAAGATATTATAAAGAATGTATAGGTTAGGCGACCAATTATTTTTGTTAATGCGTATTATTAAAAATTCACCTATTTAATGATCAACATTATTTTTTCAACCAAAAACAAGGTATTTCTCTAAATCACCGATAGCTCCGCCCTTTCCCTCTATAAGATGTCTACACCTTGTCAAGTTTCTAACATGTCACATTCAGATAAGCTAAATAAATGGCCCTTTTACATATAATCAGGCACATTTTTTACTGAAATGTCACAGAATTTATACCTTTATCTACAGTAAGACTATCGTGTTTCTATAAATATCTGAAACAAAAACAACGAGGAAGGAAAACAATGCAATTAGGTAAAAAATGGAGTTAATGAAATGTGTACATCCTTTAAAATAAATGGAAAATGTGAGCAAAATACATTAGAGATAATTTGTTTTAAATTCAAGTTATTCACTAACATTTACAATCCCTTTTGATTTGCTCTTTTGAAAAACAGTTCATTTTTTTACTATGTGTCAATTTTGGTTTAAAGGTGGAGGGGGTCCATTTTCAATGGGTTTTCCAGCCAAAAAATGTAATCATTGTATCCTTAATATCAAGGATTGTTAATGCAGTTCATTTCTATCAAGTGAAAGAAAAATTTTTTTGGTTACTTTTTCTAGAAAATATAAAGTTAAAACAGTCAGCAATTTATAACAGACATTTTTCTTAGAGTTAAAAGGGTATAAAAAAATTACTATGTAATCATTTGTCCCTACGTGCCCCACATGTATTATCTATGTAATAAATCAATTGATTGTATCCTCACATTAAGAAAGCCTAATTTTTTAACGTTGGCATTGTTTTGCTAACCTATATATCTTATAATTCAGAGTGCAAACAACACCTCTAACTCCTCCCTAATAATGATCAACATTATTTTTTGTCCAATCACATTGTAGTATTTTTCAAATTTCTACTTAGTCTAACTTTGGTTAATGTGTACTAGCCAAATAAAATTCACTTAATCTGTCGTCTAACCGCAGTCTAACAAATTTCAATAATGCATTATATTAGGGAGGAGTTAGAGGTATGGTTTACACTCTGATTTGTAAAATGTCAAGGTTAGCAAAACAATGCCAACATAAAAAAAATTAGTCGAGGTCAGGTGTTTCTAAATGTGAGGATGCAATCAATTGATTTATTACATAGATAATACATGTTGGGCACGCAGAGACAAATGATTACATAGTAACTTTTTTATATCCTTTTAATTCTAAGTAAAATGTCTGTTATAAATTGCTGACTGTTTTAAACTTTATATTTTCCAAAACATATTTTTTTTCACTTGATAGGAATGAACTGCATTAACAATCATTGATATTAAGAATACATTGATTACATTTTTCGGCTGGAAAACTGATTGTTAATGGACCCGTCCACCTGTAAACCTAAATTGATACACATAAAAATACAAAAATGAACTGTTTTACTGTAGATAAAGGTATAAATTCTGTGACATTTCAGTAAAAAATGTGCCTGATTATTTATTGATCGGGCCATTTATTTAGCATATCTAAATGTGATATGTTAGAAACTTGACAAGGTGTAGACATCTTGTAGAGCAAAAGGGCGGAGCTATCGGTGATTTAGTGAAATGCCTTGTTTTTGGTTGAAAAAATAATGTTGATCATTAAATAGGTTAATGTTTAATAATATGTATTAACAAAAATAATTGGTCGCCTGCCTGCGGCAGGCTTGACCAATTATTTTTGTTAATACATATTATTAAACACTAACCTATACATACTTCAACAACAGTTTTAGACAGGAACCCAATTTTTTTGGAATTTCCATATTCTTTTTTTAGATTTGGATTTTCCAACGAAATTTCCTTGTTTTGTTACTAAAATTAGCTAGAGTAATATTCAAGGTTTTTTATAAACTTTTTTTTATAGATTTATAGCACAATTATTTTTGTATATAATTTAAATTAGACTACACTATGAAATTTAAGTTAAATAAAAGTTCTGCAGCATGAAGAATATACTATTTTTGAAAAAAACTGGAATTCCACTTAGTGTTAAATTATGAAATGATTATTTTACCTGCGTGCAATTTTTAAGACTGACAAGTAAAGTCTATAAAAACATTTCTTGTATTGTAACGGACGTTTTACAAAAGCTCGTTGTGTTTATAAGACTCAATATAAATATAACAATTCGATGTAGTAAGCTTGAGTTCATTTTGAATATTCGTCTGTAATTGTTTTATATCTAACTGAAATCTTTATACGTCACACTTAACATTGAAAAATGCAAAAAGTTTTTAATAATTTACCCGGTTCGCGTCGTCTAAGTTTAGATAACCTGTTTAAACTGGTCATAATTTTTTTAACATTGATTTCAGTAACTTAAGCATTAAAATCAGAATTTCTGAAAAACGATTGAAAACAAAGTCGGTTAAATTCATTAAATCTTAACTATACAGTTATGAAATTAGAAAGCACTTACTATTTTATTCTAAGTTTGGGCAATAACTATTTTAAAAATTTAAAGCACTTACCTTTAAAAATCATTTACAAACTGTATCCATGTTGACGTACTTGCTTTTGGTTTCATTCTTGGATGAGTTTAACTGTACTATAATGGAAACGTTGTGACCCGTGAGTATAGTTATTTTACCACATCTTGTTACATTTAACAATCAAACTCATATAAATACTTTTTAAAAGAACAAAACATGTAAAGTTATTCAACCCGACAAAAAGGAGATAAAAACCTAATAATCGCAACTTTTCGGCCCTTTTCGTCAGTCTGCGTATATAATCGTCAATAAGAGTTGCTTAATTTAGAATTCTAAAAATAGATATTGGAAAAATTATAGAAAACGACAGTGATCCATTTCATGACTTTGAAAGTTCGTTGCTTAATCCCATGGTTTAAATGTAAACCCATGAACCATAGAAATATTTCAAAACACTGATAAATGTTCAATAATCATGTTTCTTTGGAAACCTGCATTCCAAATGGAACAAGCACAGTAATTTTAGTAATTAGAATGTTTCCTGTATTTACATGTAACCATTTTTACATTTTTTATAAACATTCAAACAAAAAATCTTTCTGAATTACATGAATTAATTCCTAAAATTTATGTAAATTCTCATGAAGATATCCGACATGTCATAAGACACTTACACAACTGAAACTGGGCATGTGCATTTTAACCGGGTAGTAAATAGTAAACCTCGCATATAAGCGTACCACTTGACGTTATTTACAAAGGAAATTATCACAGTGTGTTTCAATAATAAGATAAAAAAGAATCGGTTTTTAAATACCAATATATAAATGTTATGTCTTTTAATTCAAGACACGTAAAACAAAATTAAGTTAAGGAATTGAAATATAGAATTTAATGCTTTTTCTGTAAAATAACATATTTTAAATTTAGTTTCCAACGAGTGCATTTAAAGTATAATTACAATTATGTCTAGGTTCTTTCTTGAAATATGAAGAACTAAGCCGAACAATAAATAAAATAAGGACTTTTTACTTGGCAGGCAAATTGAACGGAAATCGTAAGGGGATTCGACAATTATCAATAGTTATTGCACATATACACATATGTATCAACAAATCAAACTTTCAACACAATATGTTGATTTTAATACTAAAAGTGTCACGTTAGATATATTATACTGAATGAGTCCGCTTTGTATCTTTCGAACTGATTAAAGGAATATGAAACTACTAGGCAGAAATGTGAACCATAATGAGACGATATAGATAACGCAGTATTTGGCTTCCTCAGATCGGTAAAATTATGGATGAAACTATGTCTGACAATCGTAATCACTTTAATGATCAACATTATTTTTGTCCAATCACATTGTAGTATTTTTCAAATTTCTGCTAAGTCTAACTTTGGTTAATGTGTACTAACTAAATAAAATTTACTTAATCTGTCGTCTAACCAGTCTAACAAATTTCAATAATGCATTATATTAGGGAGGAGTTAGAGGTGTGGTTTGCACTCTGAATTGTAAAATATCTAGGTTAGCAAAACAATGCCAACGTTAAAAAAATTAGGCGAGGTCAGGTGTTTCTAAATGTGAGGATACAATCATTTAGTTTATTACATAGATTATAAATGTGGGGCACACAGAGACAAATGATTACATAGTAACTTGTTTATATCCTTTTAACTCTAAGAAAAATGTCCGTTATAAATTGCTGACTCTTTTAAACTTTATATTTTCTAAAAAAAAGTAACTAAAACATTATTTTCTTTCACTTGATAGGAATGAACTGCATTAATAATCCTTTATATTATGAATACAATGATTACATTTTTGGCTGGAAAACATTATTATATATATAATTTAAATTAGACGACACTATGAAATTTAAGTTAAATAAAAGTTCTGCAGCATGAAGAATATACTATTTTTGAAAAACTGGAATTCCACTGTTAAATTATGAAATGATTATATTACCTGCGTGCTATTTTAAGACTGACAAGTAAAGTCTATAAAAACATTTCTTGTATTGTAACGGACGTTTTACAAAAATAACTTATATAAAGAGACACGCGCCTTGTTAACATTTTAATATTAGGGTTATTTTATCATCTGTCATTTTATGAAAATGTGTTGGAATGATCACTTTCAAAATATTTTCTTTGACATGCATAGTCCAATAAGTTATGCAGGGCCTGAATGATATACAAATTATTGTAGAAGGAGGGCAAATTCACGCCATTAGACAGTGGTTACAGAATGTGGATGATTACAGTTAACAGATACCTCTAATGGAAAAGTGATATCTCAGGGCCTATATTTTCTCCGGGATGTTGAATTGGCAGATGTATCTAGTTTAGCAAAAGAAATGATCAAATTAGACACTTAGTCATCGTTATAGACGTTTTCTCTCGCCATTTGCGGATTGTTCCGTTAAAGAATAAACAGCACGACTACATAATAGGTGGCTTAACAGAAATACTGCAGTCAGGACATTAGAACGGATCCAGGAAGTGAATGGAAAATCAGATGGGTGAAAACATTTTTCGATAAACAAGAAATTCCATTACTACGTCACTCGGAATGTTACTGGGAACAGGACTTGAAAAGACATTTCAAAAATAAGCATTCGTAGGCGTACCTTTACATTTGGAAAAAAATTAATTCCTTGATACCTGTATCAGAAACGTGATTATTTTTGATGATATGGCATCAAAAGCTACGAAAGATCAACAAGTTACAGACCTCTTTACGGAAGGCAGTCATCATAACTGAATCTTTCAGTTATTGCACTGAACCAAAATAGACGATGATGACAAACTCACAAAGAGAGTGAAATACGATACTGATGGATACTTAGAGATAGGAAAAAAAATATGTGTATATGGAACTTGCTGAGTTAACGAAGCAAATAAATATTCAAGAATGACAAGATAAAGTACAACATATATAAAACAAGGACTATCAGAAGATAAGGCTGAGAAAGCAAATCAAAAACTGCGTGAAGAAGACACTGGAGTGTTATGAAAAGGTTTACTATTATTTTGTCTTATATACTGAAATTGCAAGGAGGACAGGTATATACCAAAATAATGATGTCTGTACAGAAATAAATGCAAAATATTGAACTCGAGCGTGCTGTTCGTCTGACCTTAGGAAAGTACAAAAATATATTTTGGTCATTTCTTGACGAGTCATATTCAAACGGTGCCGAAAGCAATTGGGATGATAATAATGATGATGGTGATGATGGAAGTGATGGTGAATTGAATGACACGGAAACAGATATAAACTAACATATGTGCCTTAACGCAGTTGTGATTTGTTGACAAAATGTAAAACAAGAGGGCCATGATGGCCCTGAAGTCGCTCACCTGTATATAGGCCCCCGTAGCGGGGCCAGTTTAAACCCCAGGGCTTTTATTTGAACAAGCTTGGTAGACACCCATTAGAAGATGTTTCATGCTAAACATCTCAGGTCTAGCTGGTCAAGTTTTTTTCTTTACACATATAGTTAAAAACAATGACACACCTGGAGCAGGGCCAGTTTGGACCCAAGGGCTTTTATTTGAACAATCTTTGTAGACACTTACTAGAAAATGTTTCATGCTTAATATCTGAACTCTAGCTATTCGTATTTTTCGAAGAAGATTTTTAAGTTTTTGCTATACACATATAAGGAAAATCAATGAGCCCCGGGGTGGGGCCAATTTTGACCCCAGGGCTTTTATTTGAACAAACTTTGTAGACACTTACAAGAAGATGTTTCATGCTTAATATCTAAACTCTAGCTATTTGGGGTTTTTTTTCAAAGAAGATTTTTAAGTTTTTGCTATACAAATATAAGGAAAATCAATGTCCCCTGGGGCGGGGCCAATTTTGACCCCAGGGCTTTTATTTGAACAAACTCAGTAGACACTCACTTAAGATGCTTCGTGCTTAATATCTAAACTCTAGCTATTTGAGTTTTTCAAAAGCAGATTTTTTAAGTTTTTGTTTTACACATATAAGGAAAATGAATGACCCCCGGGGCAGGGCCAATTTTGACCCCAAGGCTTTTATTTGAACAAACTTGGTAGACACTCACTAGAAGATGTTTCATGCTTAGTATCTAAACTCTAGCTATTTGGTTTTTTTCAAAGAAGATTTTTTTAAGTTTTTGCTATACACATATAAGGAAAATCAATGACCCCCGGGGCGGGACCAATTTTGACCCCAGGGCTCTTATTTGAAAAAAAATTGGTAGACATCCATTAGAACATGTTTCATGCTTAATATCTTAGCTCTAGCTCTTTGGGTTCTTTAAAAGAAGATATTTTAAGTTTTTACTATGTGCATATAGGGAAAATCAATTACCCCCGGGGCGGGGCCAATTTTGACCCCAGGGCTTTTATTTGAACAATCTTGTTAGATACCCATTAGAAGATGTCTCATGCTAAATTTCTTAGCTCTAGCTCTTTGGGTTCTTGAAAAGAAGATTTTTTAAGTTTTTACTATATGCATAAAGGGAAAATCAATGACCCCCTGGGGGCGGGGCCAATTTTGACCCCAGGGCTTTTATTTGAACAAATTTGGTAGATACTCACTAGAAGATGTTTCATGCCACATATCTAAGCTCTAGCTCTTTGGGTTTTTTAGAAGAAGATATTTAAAGTTTTTTCTTTTGGTTGCCATGGCAACCAGAGTTCTGCATGAAATGGAATTCTTTGAACAACTTTGTTAAGGCTTCACACAAGGAACATCCCTGTGAAGTTTCATTATGATCTGCCTTATGGTTTCAGAGGAGATGTCGTTTTAAAAGTGTGAACGGACAACGGACGACGGACGACGTACGACGGACGAAGAGTGATCCTAATAGCTCACCCTGAGCATATGCTCAGGTGAGCTTAAAAAAGCATGATAGTGCTTTTTTCGAGCAGATGTATGTATAAATATAATTCAACACTGTTGACGTTTGATATTCAGTGTATATATTCGCTTATACTATTTGATGTAAATAAAGTGTACATAAAAACTATCATACGTGGCTTTGTACTGTTTTAATTAACATTAATTTTTCAGCCTTTAGTCGCTTTCAAAAAGGGCATAACAGTAATAAACTAGTTGTAAGGATCTAACCCATGTCCTTGCATATCTAGATTATTATCACAGCTTTAACTGTACATATATAAACTGTTAGTTCAAAGTTAATTAAAGAATTATAACAAATTCGTGACATAAATGATGATTTATTTATTTCCCATATTAACACAAACAATAATTTCAACATACAGTGACATATAATTCACAAATATATTACAGAAAATTAAACATATTAAAACATACATAAAAAGAAGGTTTTTAATGGTTCATGACCGTGCGCGAGCGTGTCTATTCCTGACTTCAAGACATATCTTTTATTGTCATAAGGAGACAGTGTGGTTTTTGAGACTGTTACACTATACAGCTGACTTTTTATCGTATTCATTTTATGGTCCATTGTAGTATGCTAAAAACGCATTGCTCATAAGCTTCGTGCCTCAGCTGTTTTTTCAATAACACACTTTTTTATCCCCTAAGCTGTTTGTTTTTGCTCGCCGCCGTTAATAAGGGAATACATATTATATTTGGGCGTAAACCAACAAATGATTCAATAGTATCCCACCACATTAATC